TACACAGTTCTCTCCCTGCACAGTTCTCCCAGGGGCGACTTGTAATCAATACCGTCACAGCTCTAAGCGCCCTGATTCTGCAGGAACAAGCAGGTAGCAGGTGTACTGACGATACCCTAGAAATGAAGCAAGTGTTCCGGTCTGCTGGGTTTCATGAGTTCCCAACACCAGCAGCCACCTGAGTGACTGGCAAAACCACGACCAAAGACGAGGGTCGGTGTCCCGCCGTCTAAGCAGGCCGGACCCGGTGACTTCAAGGCCGCCCATTTGAAAGGATGCGCTAGCTGCACGTAACCAGGCGGAAAGCCGGAAGGGTCAGACCGCCGGCTGCGAGGTCAGCGCCCCCAAGTCCCTGTCCTGAACCTGCCACCGACCCGTCGCCGCCAGATACCGCGACACTACACGGGCTGCCGTTATTGACGGTTCTCAAGAGGCAGCTTCAGGCAGGAGGCTCGGGAGGGAGACCCCTGCAACCAAGGGGACGTCCCTGGCCCCGCGCCACCGCGGGGACCCTGAAAAGCCCAGCTTGAACTCTGCGGTCCCCCGGCTTCCGGCGCGCTCGGGGCCTCAGCAGCAACACGCAGCCGCTCTCCAGGGCCCGGAGGCCGAGCGTGGAGAGTGCGCCGCCGCCGAGGTTGGGGTCTCTGTGGAACTCTCAGAACACGCGAGTCTATGCGGCCCGAAGGCATTTGAGAGCTACAGGCCGCGCAAACCAGCCACCCCCGCGCCCCACACACATCCGGCGCCAAAAGCCCCCTTGTACCGCGCAGGCGCGAAGAGTGCGGGCCGCAAGGTTGCGCTAGGAACCCGCGCGTCCACAGCCAATCAACGCGGGCCTGCACAAAGCGAGTCCCGCCCCCAGGGCGCCGAGGCCAGGCCCCTCCCCTTCCCTGGCCTCCCCGGCCGGCCCACCTCGCCTATGCCCCGCCTCACTCACTAACTCACTGAGTTAGTCTCGCGATTGGCTCAAAGGACTAGCGCGAGTTCTGGTTGGGCGAGACAGGGTCACGAGGTCGACGTCGTCGCCTTTCCAGAGGCGATTACTGGGTAGGCTCAGTCTTTCGCCTCAGTCTCCAGCCGTAGCTGGCTGCC